CCATAGCTGCTCAATGAAATATTTAGTTTTAAAAGTTTCATAGAAAAGCATGTGCCTGAGTCTCCATTCGACTGGATTAGATAAGGATTCAAGATTCTTAAAATGCCAACACTGTCAAAAACGGAAAATTGCAATATCTACGATGCAGAACAGTTTACAAAATAAAAACACATACTAATCTCACAAACAGGCAAAAACTGAATCTGTGAAAGGGTTGATATTGGTATTGTCTTCAATAACAATGAGTATGTTCCTGTTTTTTACAACTGCTGTAAAATTGTCTCTGTACAAATGTTCATTTTAGCATGCATAATAGTGAGGATTAAACATAATTATCATAGCGAACATAGATTAAACAGATGAAAAAACATGTTTGACCATCAACTTATTGATTATGAAAACTAATAATGAGACACTTTCATGCATGAAGGTTACGATTTTAAGCTACAGTAAATACTGTAGCAATAACATACAACTGGTGTGGCTCAGTCGACTACTTGAAAGAACATCTGCAATCACCATAATACAATGGTTTGGCATTACCTCCTGGCAGGTGAGTCAACAATATTTGAAAAAAACGTCTGATTGAAAAACAAGAAGCTATGGCTTTTGGCCATTAGACAATAAAGGAAATACCAGCTGTGTTTTTTTTTTTTTCCCCGGGTAATTCAGTTAATGCATTCCTAGAAAGCATCACTCTCTTTTTATTGCCTGTCCGTGCTGTTTCAGTTTTGAATCATTTATAATCTCACCGTGAGTAAGGCAGGAATTTAAATGATGTCATTGTAAATAAGAGTTTAACTATGTGGCATACTGAAAGTTGACCCTCTACTGAAAACAAATGTACTAAAGCACATGAGAGTTTTGTTTGTGTCCATTCTTTTTTTCAATGGCAGTGTTGCTTTCCTAGATTCCAGATTTCTGATTCAGACACTGTCAGGTCAAATACTGAACAAATAACGACTAATGTATCTCATGGAGATCACAGTTCCGGTTCTTTTGTTTTCTGAGGAGAAGTGTAGTAGTGGCCAGCTTTTCTCTGAGACATGCATTCACATGCATTCACAGAACATCCCCAAAACTACAGAATACTGTATATACTGTACATAGGCCAAAAGGCACAATGTGCATATAAGAACAACTTTCAGTTGACATCACAGTATAATCAGTCTTGCTTTGTTTTAAGAACTTAATATTTAAGTCTAAAGACATTCTGCGGTGGGCCAGTCTAGATTTAAGAACCTTTTGCTTGTCGATTAAAACAATCGGTAAAAATGGAGCTGTAATTCTGAATTTATATATTCTGCTGTGAGAGAAGTAGCCTGTAGTGCATAAAGAAGAAAACTAATTACTGCATAAATCTTCTGTACAATTCACAACTCTGCTCAACAGTTTCTTTTATTCTGAGATATACAGTATATGTGATCACTGAATTATAAGGTTATTCAATTTACCTCTTTTTCAGTCAGTCGGGGGCATTAAGGCATTTTCACAGTGTCTCGATAGGCACATTTGCCAAATTAAGCAAAATTATTAATATTTTTATACAGGTCAGCAAGATTCACTTGACATTTGTAATTTACATGAAGTGTTATGAATCTAAAGATTTTAATCCAACCCTGATGCTTGCAAAGTTTTCACCTAATTTTAGCACAGCTCATAAATGCAATCTCTAAACTAACAAGTCTCTGAACACTCCCTCTCAAACCATTTCTGCCATTATAATCTATAAAGAGCCTTTTCAGTTGAATTAAACAATTTTAGGGAGCAATCAGGTCAGAGTAAAAACAAAGAAAGGAGATGTTGAAAACAAGGAAGTGTCTTTCCAATAAAGTCTGAAGGCAGAACAAATTTCAGCACCCCAATTTCACAACTGTAATAGTGATTTTAAAACTACCAAACAGCAGAACGAAAACCACAGAAACAGCTACTGACATGACATTCATAATACCAGGAAGTTATAAGACACATAGAAAGGTAAATGTAATAAAAATGATTAAGTTTCTAGGAAATAAAAAGACCTTAGTGTGTTTCTGACTGACAGTTCACAGGGTACCCAAACCATAACTTACCTGATCTCTACTGTCCAGCTCAGAGGACAACCAGAATCCACACACAGTACATCTCTCACAAACAGAAACCTTACAGATTATTAGGACAAGTCTGCAACTCAAGGGGAAGATCAGATCTAAACTTTACAGTCCATGAAGTCTGCCTGTCATCAGGGATCTGAACTTGACGCCACTTTCTTGGAACTAATTTCCTTTTTACGGACTGCATTATAGTTTTGCTTACAGGAACCATTACCTAAATTGTACTTTTGATAAAGCTCCTGACTTAATTAAATCCAGAAAATTTCAATTAAAGCATTTTATAGACCATCAAAGATGCTGTCATCTCATTTCCAGACACTTTACATATTAGATTGCAAACTGGACTAAAACAGCATGCCAGATATTGAAACTAGTGCAGGTTCTTGAACTATAATGGTCACTGTTCAAACTGCAATTTTCATGCAGACATTTGTGTTGTCCAGACTTAAACACAGAGAAACACTTCTGAAATTCTCCTGCTTGAATAGACTGCACTAGTGTGCCATTGGTCAAGCAAATAAATCTGCAAGTTTAACAGCAGGAAAAAGTGATTAAACTGCAACTTCCTCTGCCCAAAACTCAATTGTTCCTTCCTGAGCTACAGAGGGTGTCTCACAAGCTCCTAGTTTTGCTAGGTATTAAGAAAAAACATGACAGAAAATAAATAAAATGATATCCCTGAAAAATGAGCACCAACATTACAGCTCAGTACATGAAAGTCCTACTAGTTAAATGCAGCTCCCACCAGTAATGCACAAAAACAATACTAATACAACCAAAAAAATCACAACGGACAAATTAATTACAATACTTGGAAGTCAAAGAAATGAATAGCACTTCAAAAGAAGTACACATTTTTGATTGATAGCTACACTAACAGCACCTTTTTACACTTGGAAACTACAAAACTACAATGAACATAATAATGGTGTTCTACAATTCTCTATCTTGTTCTTGTAAAAAAAGTAAATGATAACTGTATACTTAAAGTCCCTATATTGGAAAAATGTAGTTGATACAATAGTGAAAAAACTGCGATCACAGTTACAGTTAATGAGCCTCTGCTTTGAAGGAAATCTTATCCATTAACTGCTGGAACCACAGATCTCCCAGTGAAAATCTACACCACTGCACTTTTATTAGGTGGGTCAAATACAAATGTTTGCTAACACCGCCATAATTCCTCAAAAACTTGCATGCAAGACACTGATGTGGCATGCAAGATTACAGCCAATGAAATCCAAGGATCTATTACAGTCTTGCATGCACAGAAAAAAAAAAGAAAAAAAATCAAAAGCAGTAATACACCTTTTTTAGGTTTACTAATCTCGCATACAGAAATATACCGTATCAGCAGCTGCCCATGCAAGATGAGAACTGACCAGCAAGACGTTTACTCTTGCATGCAATGTGGGAGCTAAGTGTCAGGCTTTTGAATCTTGCATGCAACACCAAAGCCAATCTTCAGACTTTCTGACCTTACATGGCACTGTACACAACCCAATAACTGACCTTGAAGGCTTCCTTATTTTTAAATTAAAACCACTACCTCCTTTTTCCCATTTCTTGAAAGGAAAAAAATTCCAACAGCAAGTAAATAAAACCAATCAACGTGAATATAGATACAAATTCTTAGGATTTCCATATGTGGAACAGCACTTTGTACATGAGACCTAAAAAAATTGTATCCATACAATAGAGTCATTGGAATAAAATTAAATTCAGTTGTATTAGATACAAAAAATAATGTAATTTAATTCATTTTATATCTAATAAACAACATATGACTGTGTAACTCATAACGAAACAGGAATAATATTCTTGTACGTTTACTTAACATCTGATCACTAAGCAACCTTTTAGCCTGTGTCATATTATTTTTTCTAAAACAAAGGGATAAGGAGAACCGTTCCTGCCATGTTCTAACTTGTGTATTCACTATCATCAAAAGCAGAAACGTGAGTCAAGTCAGCAAGTAGAAGGAGGAGAATAAAGTCCGGTAGACACAGATTACAGCAATGCGATCACAGGAATTAAGAGAAGACAAGAGGTGGAACCAGAAATAGGAGCTGGTAATCAGAGTCAGGCTCTCATTGGACCTAATACTTTGGGAAGTGCTCCGATATGTTTAGAAACACCTGAGATTGGCTGGCTTATCTTCCATGCAAGATTGTACCAAACCCTATGATTTCATTGGCTGCAAACTCCTGCATGCAAGGCTTGTCTGACTTACAGCAGTGCTGGCCCCTCATACACAAGTGTATATGCGTGTTCGAACCACTCCTCCAAAGTGATGACATTGACACCATTTAGACAACACAAAAATGATTACAAGTTCAACTTAAAGGCTGCCCATATGCAAAACCTGCTTTAAATATGTATAATACTGTACTTTTTTTTATTAGCCAGTGCAATTGGAATGTCAGTATGTTCTGGGTAATTCTCAGCTGGGCAATGCAATGGGGGCAATAAAATATTTTTTACATTGCTCTGCATGGTATTAACACCCTTATTTATCCTCATACCCTTTGTGTAGTTATAGAACTATTAAGTCTATCACTGTTAATTAGCCAGTTACAGCTGTTATACTATTCAGCGGCTGTATATTAGTCAATTACTGTATATTTGCTGCATCATCTTAATTGACCTCATCTGCCAATTATATCCCGATAGGGAACAGAGTTAGTGTAATGGCCTTTCAAGTACCCCACCCCCCAAAAAAAAACAAAACAACTGAAAGCAAAGAACCAGGATGGAATAAATGCAGGTGCACAAGAAGGTTGGTAAGCAGTCTGAAACAGAGTGAGAACAACCATAAGGACAAGCTGTGTGGGCTTGTGTGGAGTGGTCTGGAAACTGTGTCCCTGTGTCTGCTGGTGAGGTGCGTAGTGTGGACTAGTGACTTACCTGTCACTATAGGCAGCTGCAGTCGCGGTGGCTGGCTGGGCGTACCTGTAGGCAGCGTAACCACCCTGAAAAAAAGGCAAAGGACAAAGACGGGCTTGAGCAATGTCTTCCCTTCTGCTTTCTTTCTGAAACAATCCTTCAAAAAAGTCAGTTTTTCAACATTTCTGAGTCTTTACCTGATCACACTTTCTGAAAGGAAGGCAGAGGTATTACTCAGCTGCCTTTTCTCCTGTTCTGATATATATATGCTGCACAAAAAGCACAAAGACGTGGCTACATAATATTATGTATGTTTCTAAAATTAGGTAGGCGGTTATCTTAGCCACCATGGTTAAAACATGGCGAGTCTGCATGCTCGACCATCATGTGGTCAAGATTTTCAGTGGGCGTGTGCTTGCCCTAAGATGTCCTAGTCCTTGTTACCCTGGGCTCCTGGGATGAGCTCCGGGCTATTGAGATCATTGTCAGGAAAAGTGGCTTTCTGATAATTGATGGATATACTGGACACAAATCTCAATAGCATTTCTGAAAACATTCAATTATTGAAGGCACGGCTTTTGAGGAATGAAAATGTCTTTCCTTCTTCTTCTTCTTCAGATGGTCGCATGGCTAAAAACTACCTGGCACTGAACCGTTTAAAAAATTCACACAGAAGAACTTAAGAAAAGTAACAAATAGAATGAGCCATTCAGCCCATCTAGGTGTTTCGTAATTGCTAATTAATCCAATAATTTGGTGACTAAAGTTACACACAATATTCTAAATGAGGCCATATTATTGTATGAACAATTTTAACATGACATCCATCCCATGTATTTAATTCTGTCTGTTGACTACATCACCTAACATTTTGATTGCCTTTTTAATTGCTTCTTCATGTTCCATTTCTGGGGCCCTGCGGGAATTTGCTCTGTGCTTGAAGATTGGATGATGCCTCCAAACTGTAGGGACCACACTCTTCTGCTTGTGTTTTTCTGCACTCCATGTGGTGCAGTATGTGGTCAAAACCAAATGATCAATTTTCTTCAGTCCTCTCAGTCTGCATGCTGGTTGCGTCAGGCAATCTTTTTGCAGGCTTCCTTGGCCGCGGATGAAAACGGTTTTGAGTCCTTCACTCACACTGTGGGACCCTCTTACTATCCCGCTCTGATGAAGACCCACACCCCCTTGACCCCACTGTGACCCCATCCAGCAGGATGGAGGGCAACATTAGAACCTCCTTTATCTTTGAGAAGAGAGAGAGTGTCTCCCTGCATTAATCACAAATTCTCTGCTTATGCAAACCATACTATCTAGATAAACTGTGATTTTTCTTTTTTTTTTCTCCCAGGGCCTTTATGCAGATTTCTGCCACTGATTTACAAGAACCTAAATAAAACAGAAGTGTATATAAATTAGCACTTGCCAGGCGATCTGATGAGTGTTTTTTAAAAACAGATCATACATGAAAATTCCAAGGAATTTCTTTCAAGCATATAGCTTTGAATGTGTAGCTTTCAAGAATGAGTGTGATATAGTTCAGATATATGTACACACAATGTGTATACAGTATATATAATTATACTTTTTTAGAAAAAAATGAAATGTTGAAAAGCTGAAATATCGTCAGGCTTTGCCAGCTTAGCATTCGGATTGCACTGGTGCATTTGTTTGAGATGTTAATAAAATTCAGGATTAATTATGTAAAGCAGCTATTACAGAAGAAATAGGGTTTTCTAAAATGCTAATTTTATCATATGTAACAGTAACAGCAGCTGTTCAATTAAGCAAACAGGACAAACAAACGCACGTTGGAAATGAATCGTGTGCAGTGATGCATTGATTATCAAACTGTGAAAACAGCAGAGTTCCATGTTCAATGGACCACAGTGTTACATCAACCATTTCCAAAAAGATCTCAGCATGCCAATTAACAAACAGAACCCGGTCTCCACAGATAACGCAAACACTATTTACGTTCCAATTAGAACCTGATGCCCCATCATCCTTTGGGACAGCAGCCTGCTCTGTGTATGTTTGCAAGCTTAGTGATACAAACTGGGTAAAGAATATTAATAGAAAAATCCCCTGATTACTCAATCTTGCAGACAGAATCATTTCTGCTCTTTATCATTTGGTCACCATTCACCACAAGCTGTCATCTGGAGAAAAACCTCTTAGGCATCTGCATGTTTTCATTAAAAGCTAAACATAAAGCTTAATAGATTAGGACCTCTTTAAAAAATTCTCTGGATCTGAGGGTACATAGTACAGGAAAGTGCCCAATTGTCATTGTCTGGGACACTAAGAATATAATACATATTTAACCTGCAATCTTTAAAAAGAATCTATAAATCAGATTACTCTATATAATGGTATTTTAATGTTTCCTGCATTTCAGTTTATTCTGAAATTTACAGGTTTATACAGGTAGGTTATGTCAGTGTATATCAGTACACATGTACTACTGTAAGTGTCAATGTTAGGGTGAGGTTCCTTCACTGTCAGTTGTACTACTGCTGTTTCTCGCACTACTAATGATGATGATGATGCACTGGGTTCTTAAACTGAAGATAAGACCTACCCCATAGGAGACAACACCACTCCAAATATTTGAAAGTCTCATTCAGGACATGTAATTGGGTTCACACAGTTTACTCTGTATTCCTGAGACGCAGAGAGTAAAGGCAATGTTCCTATTTAAAACAACCCCTCTGACGATGCGAAACGTTGAAGCTCCTTCACTGACTGCTGCTCTTTGCGATCTTGCGCAGGCCAGCTCTACTGCGACAGCAGCTGGGAGACTGGGAGGGGATGTGACTGAAGGCATCCTTCTCCCTTTCAGCCCTGCATTGCCTGTCAGAGCCAGGGAATGTGTGCACCTCGAAATCCTACTGTGTGCGTCACAAAGGATGCAGCGAAGCACTGCATCGTCACATCTACCTTCTCTTTCAATTACCGTAGTCTGTTCCTAACTTTTTTCTAACTTTTGTTTTTAAATACGTTTTTTTTATGGCTATGCTGAACCGAATGTTTTTATTCAAACAAATGAAAATACCCAAGCAAGATTTCATTGTTTTATCTTCCTTACTTATTCGGCTAGAACATTCCCCATAGTAATTCTGATCTCTGAGATTGAATGTTTTAAAGTTCCTATTGGAGTCACTTTACATTGGCTGGACTCCTGGCTTGCTGAGGTACAGGTAACTGAATCTGATAGATGCTTTTGAAACCTGGAGCTAAACAGGCATTCCATTCCTGCGAGTATAAAATCTATAGTCTAATTTGCAGAAAGAAAATCATTAATGATCAGTTCTGCTACAGCGGTTTGGTAATGTCTCGTACAAGGTCTGCAGAGATGTTTCATACTTCTTCTCTGTTTGATGCTGTCTTCCACTAGTGTGACAAGTTCTCATTCAAGGCTATGGATGAACATGAGGTGCAGATGTCTAAGGGGTAATTTCAGAGCTGGCTGTTTTGTTTTCATTAAACAATCTTCCAGCAGTTCATCTGTTAGTATGATTTCACAGCAATCCACATTCAGTGTGATGAGTCCTTTAACCATTCACTAATCCATACCTGTGGTAACTTATTGCCATACACAGGCTCTTGAATAACTACTCTATAATGAAACAGAAATAATGATTTGAATGCAAAAAATGAATAAACAATGAACCCATCAGACCAATCTCATACAAGCTTGCTCAGTATAATTGCATTTTCAAAATCACAATGAATTGTACAGTGGCCACTCCAATCATCACTTTAGACATAAGAGTAAAACATCATTAGCAATTTTTAAAAAATAACATATTTATGAACAAAACGTTACGAGTTACGTGTCATTATTTTCAAGACTTGTTTGGATTAATTTAGAATGCTTTAAAAATAACCACAACATAATTACATATGCAGTGTCTTTTGATTATTCTTCTAAAGGGAATCATTGCTTTTCATCAGATTTGTGCCCAACATTGGATCAAATGTAACAGATCGTTTGTGAAATACCTTTGTATTTGAATTGCGAGGGGAAACTACAAATAATTAAAGGTCTGTTACTAAACCTCAATATTTATGCTTCATCTGCAAAGGGGTTTCATTTTAATACGTGTCACAGATTGGAACACATCTAAATTTAGTTTCCCATTGGATGTCAGGACTAGAATCTATATTCCTTCATTTTACACTGTCACTTTTTAATTTCCCTCTCCTCATCAAAAATTTACAATTTTTAACTGAACGCTCAGCAAAGAATGATTTGTAATAAATATAAGTAATGTTTTCTAATACTTTCTAATGAATATTTAATGTTTATATCAATTTGAAGCAATCAATTCAAGCCTCAGTGGTACCCTGCTACTGGCAGATGTAGAAAGGGGACATTAGTTAAACATATTATGGTCATGCTGTTTTTAAATGTGTTTATTGTTTTAGACATTTGGCTTTGAGATTTCTTTCCTAAGCAGTTCATTGGAGAGATACAGAGGATACAGAAGAAGCCACTTCTCTTATTTTTCTCCTTCTTTTGGGATTTCCAATCTTATCAGTAGATAAAGTTACAGTATTAAATATATGAATATATATTATTCAATAATGTGTATTTCTTATTTTGCAGACATCATTTTTTTTGCGGGACTGTTCATTTTAATAGATGTTTGGTTACATTTTCATTTTTCTTACTCAACTATCCTCAGATTGTGTATAAGGATAAGTTAGCAGTCCACACATCAAAAGAAACTCGAAACTGGATATACTACCGTGAAATACCACAGGAGATTTGCACTGTGCACATTTAACTTATTGTTGACCCGAACAGTTTCTTTTCTAATACTTACAGTGTGTGCTGAAATTAGTTCTTCATCTGCACAATTCCCATATTGATATTTATTTCATGTTACTTTCAATAATCAATCCACCAGGCCAGAAGCACATTAACTTATGACAGTGGACTTGCAATGAATTATAATGCCAAAGTAGCTATTTTTTAATAATCAGGTTGAGTTGAGTCCATTTACAGTAGGAAGATTTGTTTTTCAAGTTAATTTGTCTCTGTCATCTTTGGCATTTGCTATTTATGAGCATTAATGCATTCGTGTCACTACTACTCTCAGAACAGCTAGACATCTTCACTCTATCATATATACATACAGTATATATACTGTATGTGTGTGTTACACATAAATAATGTTCTCTTTCCCCATATGATTAAAATAACTAGAATACATCCTGATCTGTGTTTATTTACTGAATAATATAATTATACAAATCTTTAGGATGTTTGTTGTTTCAACTTATTTTACATGCTTGACTACTCACACAATAGTTGTACCTGGAACGCTTGCAGCAAATATTTATTGTACATTGATTACTATGTTAATTTATTCAGTCTAAGTGCAGCTTTGCTTGCTTTCATTAATGTAATGCAATGTGGGAGTCCAATGCAAAAATGGCGATTGCATTTTTGTTTGCATTTAGTTGCAAATTAAGCTTAAAAATTTTGAAAAAACAATTTAAAATTCAGCATAATGAACTGACTGATGAAGCATCCAGGAAGCTTACTTAAATAGCTGTATTGATTTAAAAAGGCTAGAATTAAAGAGTAATTTCCAAATGTAAATATCAAACCATAAGAATGACAACAATGCATTTTTGTTAAGTACTGTTAAGTCTTTAAAATACCTTTTGCTTCAGAGAGAATTTGCATGATATGGGTGGCCAACTGATGGAGTGAAGTAAAAAGGTCTTCCATAATAAAAGATCTTTCACAGGATTCTTTCTGACAGACCAGAAATGGCAAATAGAGCCAGCAGAGCTGTATCAGCCTAGCAAACTTGTAAGAGGAATGGCTGGGGTAATGTTCATGGACAGCATGCACATCATGAATACTTACATAAATATCTGCACCATAAAATCCATCCTGGTACACAACACTGGAAAGATGCACACACAGAGAAAAACATCCAGGTTAGTGCACCTTCCCATGCAAATACCAACAACCCCTGCCCCGCGGGGTTAGTGTGGCTAACAGACACACAGGGAAGGAAACAGTGGAGGACAGAAATCTTAGCACATTCCACAGGTGGGTAAGGAGGCTGGGAATTCGCCGCTCCAGGGCTGGTGACAGGGAAAAGTGAAAGCATGGTAAAAAATACAGCAAAATGTTGCAACACTTGTAAAACATTTCTCCCATCTCCCTTTATTAAAGTTAAGTAACAGCTGTGGCCAATATGAAGGGATATGGTAATGTGGTGTAACAGATCTGCTTGTTGGTTTAGACTTTTTTCTGAGTTCAGACTTTGCTTTAAAATATTTTCCAGTTTAAGTGCATTATTTCCAACAACTTTTGCACACAGAACTCCCCTCAACCTGCTGACTAAGACTTTCCTGCCTTATTTCTGACTAAACAGCTCTTAATGGGTGATCAGCTGATGATGAACAGACACAGGTGGCAATGACATTGTGTCACTCACTCCCTCAGTGAGTCAGCATTGTTTCTTCTGCTTAAGTCTAAATGGTAATATTTCAGCTACTGTACCATGCCTGAATAAGGGCAGTCCTGAAACTCACTTATCACCACAACGTACCTACCATTTACAAACCTTACTCAGCATTTTAAGAGCCAAAAGTAGAATAGAAATAGATGAAGTAAATTAGCAATTGATTCAGGACTTTGGTGGAACAAAAACCAGCAGTCACCGGGGTTACCCAGGACTAAGACTGAAAACTACAGGTCTGGAGTAATCCAGCAACATAGGAGATACAAATTGTTCACTTGGTCTCGCATTTCCACTGGCTCAGGTCCACCGAGCAAGCCTGCAGTTGACAGCAGAATTCAAACCCATTGAAATGGCATAGTATGCCTTGCATTTCAGAGTCTACCACCCATGAGACTCATCTCCACAAAGGGAGAGCAGTACAAGTAAGAACCGCTTGCGATGAAAGTTCAGGAGAAGGACAAGACCCCAAGATTCGACCCTCCTCCACATTAATACGAGACATCTGATCTTTCCTCTGCCCAGCAAGTCTTCCCCAGCCTTGCAGGAGCTCCCTGGCCCACTTCACTCAACTAGGCCAAAGGAGCTCATCCCTTTGGTCAGGTGGTCACCCATCTAGCCAATCTAGCCATAAAGCCACCAGAAGCTCTAGTATTCGAGATACAGAACTCTGCAGAGCTTTACTGTATCTCCTGAAGTGTTCATAATCATGGCTTGGATTCTGATGGCATACCTTACATAATTGAAGGTTTTCTGTCAACTTATTGGAAACAATATCAAGCAAAGTTCCATGTTCATGTTCAAAACTGAAAATTAATTATTCTACACCAATGTTAAATTGTTTTAAAATGATTGCACACTAATTAATCACTGTCCTCTCTGTTCAATGTAATATCCGATATAAATATGCCACAAAGTGAGAAATGAATCAATTTTCGTTTATGTGATTCAGAGCTCTTCTTCTGCTTGTGTGCTGTGACCTTTTAAACTATAAATACATCCTTCTAATAAAGCTTAACAAAACGTAATTATGTGAGGATTGATTAATTAATAAGTAATACTATTTCCAAAGACTGGTACAGGAGCTGAAATATTTTTGATTTCTCTGGAAGACTACATCGGATAAATTAATTAAATGAATTGCAGAAAGAGTTCCTCTGATTGCTAACCTGGTCTAACCTGAAGCCTCCACCAGTGAGCTGGAATTCACACGTTATACCAGCCAGTTAATGAACTGAGGTACTGAAAATAGAGTTTTAGTTACTTTCAAACTTCTCACATATATTCACTGAGAAAATGTAGGCATTCAAGTCAGCATTAAAACTTCTTTATGACATCAGAACCCTTACTGCATATGGAAATATCAGAAACCTCACTAGAAAATGCAAAATGTGTGCCTTTTGGTCTAATTTATCATGGAAGAAAGGAGATAGAGTGGCTATTCGTAGCACATGCAGAGATCTTATGCCCGTGGCAGTTTGATGGGCTCAACATAGTTTAGTTTGAAATAAAACAGCCATCAAAATTTTCCTTATTTCCTTTAAGGGCTGAAAACTTTGTTGTGAAATGACAGAAATAAAATCACTTGAGGGCACAACGATACCCAAACTGCTGACATAGCAAGAAGAAAAACTACTCGAAAATATATAGATAGCATTCTAAAGTACCTGTATTTTTCACTCTCACTAAATATAACCACTGAAGAAGTTAGGTGGGCTCACAGCAGAGAGATGGTTTGGTTAAAATGAACTCTACCCAGCCTCCTTAAGCACCAGATGCTTGCAGTCTTCAACAGAAAAAAAAATATTCAACTGTTAAAGGGTTTCTTTTTCCACAGCATTCAATCTCTAAGAGAATTTACATAACAACATGTGACATATAAAATGCTTAAAGCCACCAACCATGACAGTACAAATTACAGTCATTTTTCATTACTCTGTGCAAGGTGCACATCTTCAGGCATTCGGATTGGTCGCATGCTGTGTCGGTTTCCGTGGCGAAGCAAGACCAGCATGCACTGCACCGCACCCGCAGAAGCGTTGAGTCAGTGGGGCTGGGGTGTTAATGAGCGAGCTGGCTGGTGTGTCACTCACCCTCCGTAGGCTGGGATGGGGGGTGGAGGGGCAGCTGCCCGGAACGTGTTGTAGACCGTGCGCCCCCGCCCTCTTAAGTGGGCCCCTCTGTAGGCAGCCGCTGCAGTTGCAGCAGGATATGGGAAGCCTGGCACTGTAAAAGAGCAGGGAAAAGAGTACGGAACTTGAACCTTAAAACTCCCCCAGACTGCTGCTCAGCAGTTACATCAGACAAAAACATGACAGCAGCTATTCACAGCCAGAATATCCTCATGAACAATCTTTAAGGTGCTTCAGAAAGGTTTGTGTTTTAGTGGTTCTAACTTTACTGGAAACAGAAAACTCTCTACGCCATCTCAGTCTCTTATGTGCCGTTTCAAATATGCATAAACATAGTTCTTCTGTGGAAAGAAAATGACTCAAGATTCACATTAAGGACTGAAATGAATGTTGTTTCCTGGAACAAAAAATTGTGATCAAGACATTTGTCTGAACAGCAGGGCAGTCTTCTCTAGAGAGGAAATACATTACAGTTTCTATAACCATAATGCAAATTTAAAATGTAATAACTTTATCACAGAAAATGAGGCACCATTCCCTTTAGAACAGTAGGAGTTTCACTATCACGTTATTCTCAGAAACACTGAGAAAGTTAGTTTAAACCAAATGCAGTAACTTTCATGAATCTACTCTAACAATGATCTGGATTTCTCAGAATATACTGTATTCCTTCTTTACACAGAAAATGTTCCTTAAGTATCAAAGTTATATTTTGCATCTTTGGAGGAAAATGTAAAAATATAATAATAAAGTATTGTGCTAAATCTTGAAGAAAACTATTGTGCACAAACCAATATCATGCAGCAAAAAAAAAAAAACTAAATTCTCAGCTCCCTAATTCAGACTTATTGTGTTGTTAGATTTGATTACAGGACTATATACTGTATAGTTATTCTTAATTATGACTTAGCAACTGTCCTGTGAAATTGCCAAAATAGTTGAACAGCTCTGAAATCATTTTAATAAGAGGGTTTCCCTCAAAAAATAAAGCAGGCCCACACAGTGAAAGACATTCTGCCATGCCTGATCCTGAGCTTGCTGAATGTTGTTGTAGGCTCCAATACTCCTAGCACAATCAGTTGTATCTTTGGAATAAGCACACAATAGCACACAATAATAATAATTTCATGAATTTCCATAATGCTTTTTATCCCAGAGGATTCCATTGCGAACAGGGGCTTGCAATTGTTTTATGTGAAATTAAGACATCAGCTTGTACTAAGTAACCTACAATCTGGTCTTTTGTAAACCCAACAGTTTTTATGTCACATACTGTATTCTGTAAATTTAAAGAAATGTATAAAAGCTTGCAAACCCTTTAGTTCAGAAGCTGTTTTGCAGCTCAATAATGTGCCTGAACATTCACTGGTCTGCATTCACTGAAATCCCACAACACATTTAAATGATGGTACCTCCTTCAGCACAGAGTACCCACTTAACATACTGAGACACTGGTTTAGAAATGTTGCTCCTACTGGTCCACTGGTTTTCCTGAGGTCTCCCATTCCAGTATTATCCATACTCAGCCTTGCTTAGCTTTTAAGATCTGATGAGATCATGCCACAATGTAGCAATGTTTTCGCTAATGATATGCACCTTTAAGATTAAGTGCATCACACTTTTATCACACAACATTTCTGGTTTCCCATATTTTTCACTGGAAGGCAACACATTGCATCCTTGAACATTCACTTAGGAGGGTTTAGATATTCTTTTCTTTAACAGACCTGTTTCTCCAGACAAAACAGAAATCAATTGCCAGACAACTAACAAATAAAACCAAATAACTATCTAGGGAGCAATGAAAATTAAAATGTTTTTTTTTTAATGATTTTTACTATTGACATATCCCTGGAGTGGAAAAGCAGAACTTGCAATAAAGAAAATGCAGTGAAGTCAGGAAAACCACCTACTGTATAAAAAACTAATATGTCTAGCTGAATATCAGCCAGTTAATCTTAATAGGGTGATGACTGTTAGTAATGACACTTAAGAAGCTTAATTCAAGAGTGCAGTTAGTAGTGGTTTGGGGAGCGGGGGGTGGGGGGATGTACTTCAATTACACATATAAGTATTTCATCAGTTTAAATATTAAATTCTAATAGAAACATTGTATTGTAAATGGAGTTGATGAAAAATTGAAGGATGGGAAAGTGGCTTGCTGGCTCACAAAGGAGAATGCAGTTATTAATCTGTCCCATCTATTGTCACCTCGGTATTCAGCCCCTCCGGCTTAACAAAAACCCTTTTCTCTGCAATGAGCAGGCTTCTCACAGCAACTCTGTCTGGATTTAGATATTGAGATACAGCCTTGAAGCAGAAGTGCACACGAGAACACAAAGCTGTGCTCTACTTCTAAATAAGCAGGTGACAAAACCCATACACGAGCCTTCACTTGCTCAGTAAATAGACGATAATTTGTGGCAGACACCAAAGAAAGCTGCATACAAAATGTCACCGGAAAAAAAAATGTTTTCTCCATCTCAGCCAGATTCTTGGAATTATTTTCCATCTGGAGTACGTACTCTTTGGAGCTCTGTTTCAGTTAAACATGTAAAAGCGATAAGAAGCCGTGAATTGCTTGTTTATTAAGAAAAATGCTCTTGCAATGAGACTAACATCATGTGGGACAAGGTTGTATTTGTGACCAAAATAAGAAAAATAAATCGTACTACACATTAATCTGAAATGATTACATGGAAATTACCTCAAAAGACTTTGAAAAATTCAAAGAAAATCTAATAATGCATACATTTCTATATTTTAAATCTATATTTTATAGCACATATACAGTATATACGCTGAAATAATAAAGGAGTAAGATGTGCCAACTGGCTGCCTCTTGCTTGCAGACTGTCCTTATGTTCTTACATTTTAGATTTTATTCTTACATTCATAGAGATTTTTTTTCCACAAATGTGTCCGTGAACATTTCTGATACACACGCTCAGTATCAGTTAAATAAATCTGCTAGTAATGAAGAAGAAGATCGAGGAGGCGAGCTCGTCCATTTCCTGCAGTAAGTGCGAACTGTTCCCCTAGTGCAGGAAGGAAGATGTGCAGCAGGAAAGACTGCAAGGGGTGAAAACAGAACCGTAAAAGTTTTAGTGCTGAGGGACAGATTACAGCTGAGCAGATGCAGGGCCCAACAGGAGGTAGATTCTGCATCAAAGTCATAAAAGTATACAACCGCTTTATGGGATAATTATTTTTCTCATTTGTTTCCCGTTTACAGTTTCGAGGGAGAGGGCCCATATGCCTTTGGAAAGGTGCTCCATCACTGCCGAAAGACGCCGCGACCCCCCTCCATCTCACAGCAAGCAGCCCCCTCTTTAAAATCAGACACCCTTAAACATTTATTTTACAAAGTAAACGTTTAGGCATGCAGCTAGGCGAAATATTCTGGAACAAATTTACTGTGCGCCGCTTCAGTTTTAACAAGGCTGATAATAAAAGTGATGTGAGCGAGCGGTGCTGGGCTTGAGTCACAGAGGCAACCCCCTCAGCTCGTCTTCGGAGTCATGAAGGGGAGCGCGGACGGATACAGCCACCACCGCTAGGACATATGGTCCTCTTAGAGAGCGGCGCGGTCGTTCTCGGCAGATTATCGCGAATTACAATGCTGTAAAACAACAGACGAGGGGAAAATGTGGAATAAATTGCGTGCAGTTCCTCGGCGTTGTTCCAGGAGACCAGACAAGAAGGGAAATAACAGAAAACACCGAACCACAGCTATAATCCATTGGGTTTTGTGCCGCTTTTTCTGGTGTGGGTTACACCCCAAGTTCTACAATACAAATACAGAAACAAAACGGGTTACACCTGGGAATCAGTCACGTTGCGTAAACGCATTCAGTCTCAGAATAAAGCTGCCTCATCCTCTGTGAGGCACTGGGCCGATTCCATTGGGATTCTTTGTCGTGTAGGAAGATCAGGTGCCCAACACGCCTAGAGTACTATTTCACACTCATGGGCAGAAGAAGAAGAGACGTCACAATTGAAAGCTAAAAAGCAATTCGTTTACAACTGATACTTTTGGAATAGGAAGCACTTTTGGAATAGGAAGCACTTTTGGAATAGGAAGAGTTGCAAGAAACTGGCTTTCCAGTCAGGTAACTGAGGCCCAAACTCTGGGCTCCTTCAAGAAAAACCCAGATACTGTACATTTTCAATTTACTTAGCTGCTAAACTACCACACAAACAAGATGGGCCAATGGGCTCCACTGGTTTGCAGTCCTGAACGGGTGCCTGGCTGTTACTGCTGCCACCCCACAGCTCTTGGGCCCCGGGCTTGATTCTAAACTGTACCTTTGTCACACGTCTCTGGGTTCTGTGGTTTGCTCCCACACTCTGGTTAATGGACTGCTGCATGCATGTGTGCGCTGTGGTGGTCTGGCGGCCTGTACAAAGTGTAGCCCTGTCTTGCACCCTGGACCTGCCAGGCAGGGCTATGGCTCTCTAAGGGTAAAGGGCTTCTCACAGCGGAAGGATGGATGACTGAAAAAGTAACAGAGAATGGGCTGGCCCTCCTATATTTTGGTCTCCACATGCTCCCCATCCAGAAACAATCCATTTTCTGGCTCATCAGATCGGAGAACTGTAGAAAGCTTTTTTTATTTCCTTTGGAATATTGTCCACTGGATTATATTTGTGACACTGCTGTTATATTGTTATTGAGCCGCATATTATTTTTGTACAGGAGAGCAACTATTAATGTGCTTGATGTTTTTTTTTAACAGAACATTAGAAGCAAGGGGCAGCTTGCAGACACATCTCCACCAACCACTATAATGAGGGGACCATGAGGCAGCAGTGGGCAGCCAGGATTAGGTATCCTGTGTGGTATTTGGCATTTTGCTTGTCTTTCAAAAACAAAATTCTAGTATATAATTGGTTTATACATTTGTGCCCAAAGGAATGCAGATAACAGTGCATTGCTAAGCTTTTGTTTGTTGTGAGGATGCAATGCTTTTCATCTGCAGGCAAAGGCAAGAAAAAAGAAAATGAGAGACACAGAAGAACCTGTGTAGCTCTTGTTTTTCAAGGCTTAGAAATATTATTTAAAGGCATCGGCCAACTATGACTTCTGTTCCA